AGAATCATCTTCTTAGTCCATTCCTTTAGAAAAAACAAATGTTGAAATAAAATCCAGCTGATTCAACTACCCAAATCTCACACTAAGCTGGTTCCCAGCTAATGAGGTTATCCCTCAGAGGGTCTTCTTTGGCACTCCCTATCTATATGAAACATTCTACAATCATCTCAATAGCTCCGGCTTTTTTTTCTGCTAATAACAACAAACTTTATGTGATGATAGATCTTTTTGGTGGAGGCATATTGGTGGTGGATGGGTTCCAGGATCTAATGAATACACTTAAAGGGAAGTTGTCCCTTTCATAAAATGAGGGACATGATGTTTGCTTCCATTGCAAACACAAATAAATCTGCCTCATATGATTACTTTTCCATTTCTTCCTCTAGAATTTCATGAATTTGACTCACCCTCCAATGAAGTACTCTAAAAAAAAAAAAAAAAAAAAAAAAAAACCCTCTGGTATCTCTACCCTAATTAGGATGGTTCCAAATTAATCACTTCTAGAGTTCATTACAAATCAGATAAGAATACCATATAGTCATTTGTCTACCTTACCATTTCATTAATGCCCTCTTACTAACTCAAATACACTCAAAATGAGATTAACCTTTAAATGAGATTAGCATTCTCCTCAGTAAACTGACAGCCATTAGAACACAACCTTCAAGTATAATTGTTTCTAGAAATTCTTAGAAGAGGCCCTGAAACTTTAACCCAAAACTGTTTAAGTACATGACTTTAGAGGTACGAACCTGTAGTACACTCTGCTCAAGTATGTATTGAATTATTACTTTACTGTAAAGTTCACCATAGGCAAAATTTATTTTTACTGGTTTTATATTTACACTTATTAATGCCCTTATAACTTAAGCATAAGTAATAGTCCTTTCTACAACTATATTTTACAAAACTCTCAAAGTTCAAAAAGTGATAAATCACAGGTTGAACAAATTCAATCTGAAAAAACACACTGGCACTTAGGAACAGAGCAGTTTCCTCATGGAATCTGGGCTGCACTTTTTTTATAAAATACCCTGGCATGGTTATCCAGCAAGCATGGCTTTTGTTTTATAAAACTGTCTCTGCAGGATACTAGTATGTAGGAAAAATATTTTAAGTATGAATTCAATCATAAACTACGCTAGAAGAAAATGACAATATTTAAGAGAGGAAACTATATCACATGCTGCCATTCACTACATCAATTTGACACATTATACACACCTCTTGTAATTGTTTTTCCAAATTTAAGAGGAAATGTGACACACTAATCCAGTAAAGGAGGAAAAAAACTACTAAATTTTTGCCCTTGTTTCAAAAGTTCTGAATAGTTTGAGTATCAGAAATAGTATGCAATCGTAGGAATTGAATTCACATATAAACTTCTTCTTGAAATAAGTGCTTTAACTTGTAAGTAAATCTGAAACAAGGTGGAGGGAGGCAACACCTTTCCAGCTCCCATCTTTTCTCATTAGGGATACAAGAAAGTAAACTAGGAATGGCTGCCAATGGGAGCGTGGTCTCTGCAGACATTAAAATTTCCATGATATAAAAAGAAAAAAGAAAATTTTTTTCATGATACAGAAGCCATTTATACACATCCCACTGTTTATTAGCAGGTTAGCCTTATTTCAGATGACTCATGACTGTTTGTATGTTCTAAAAATGTTAGCTGTTAATAGGATGCATAACCTATCAACTTACTTCTCTTCTCTACCTGGCTAGTCACCTGTTTGATCATGTGTCCATCTTGGTTTCAAGCAAGTCTTACATGGTTGCTGTTGTTTGTTTTTGTTTTTCACAACAGTCTAACATGTCACACAGTAAGTAACCCTCTCTCTTTCATATGGAAGTCTTTAGTAGAGAGCAACAACAGATTTATCAATGAGGACATTTCCCAGTCTCTCCAAGAATACTAGATCCTCTGAGCCAAGAACACATTTGAATGACAGATCTGGCCTGGGGAATAGTGATGACTTGGCCATTGGCTATACCTCTCACAAACCTACCCACCTAAACAATAAAGGTTTGAGAGACAGCAAGCATAGGGAGTATGACTTCTCCAACCTCTTACCCCTGGGCTATCAACTCATTTTCTATACTAGATAACTAAAGGTGTTAAAGGTAGTCCTTGGTTCCCATGATAACCAACTCAACAATTACCTGTCTTACTTGACTATCATGGACCAAGCACTCCAAGCAACTATAACTAATAAAATTCTTAAGACACAGGACTTCCTTTTAACTCAAGAAGACTAAAAAAACATGTACAATATGTGAGTGCAAAACAATGAACTCTAATCAGTGGTGCAGAAATAATTACTGTAATACTAATAACCTCAAATGAATCTTTCAGATGGGCTACCAATGTATACTCATAGCTTGTGTTCTATTTCAACACTTCTAGAACCAGTATTTACTATATAGACAAAAACAGACAATGTATCTGAACCTAACCCTAAACATGAAAAGGAGCCCACAGGCACACTCTTAACCATTTTCCAAAGAAATAGGTTTAAACGGCTTTACCATGCAGAGCTATGGCTTCCCGGAAGGGTTGCAAATCAGTCTCTACAGATGAGCTAGTTTCCGTTGAAGTAGCTCTGTTAGGGGACACTACAGTCAGTCTTGGGGGAGCTCTAGAGTTTCGTGGTGGAGGAACCTTTCCACACAGGAAGCTGATCAAATCTTCTCTACGAATAGTTCTTCTGCGCTTTTTAACCCAGGCCAGCACATCCTTATTTCGTCGCTGATAGCCAATCTGAATTCCAATATCAAAACTTCGCTGATGGGTATCCACGCTTTCTATTAAAAAAAAAGAAAAGGGAAATATACAGTGAATTGCAGCCATACTATATTTGCTCCTCAAGAAAACCACTTTGTACATTAACCAAAATGAAGACACTATGAACATTCTAAGTCCACATGTAATTTTATAATCCAAAATGCACTTTAGTCATGTTTAAAATATTAAACATTTAATCTTCTAATTCAGAGTTCAATTCTAAAAATTTACTTCCAATCCCTGACAAAAAGATAAACACTGTATACACAAATAGAGGGACTGTTTTTCTTCAGGCAATGTAACTTGTCAAACTTTAGCCTATTTCAGGGTATTAGGTGTTACTTGAGAAAACAAAAGCTATCTACCCTTGAATGAGTACTACTGTCCCCTTACTACAAGTAAACCAAAAGACCACACTCTCTGCTTTCAATATATTTGCAGTCTGCTTCTAGCCAAAAGTCTTTTGTGAGTAATAACCATTCTTTTACCTTAAATTTCCCCAGAGTAGCCTCCCAGGACATAATGAAATTCAGTTTAGCAAAATATCCCCTGCCATTCAGTTGTTTTATTTAGTTGGAAACAATATCTCCAAGTTTAAAAGTCACCCCAATTTTCTTTTGAAGTTAGCTGCTGAGCTAGCAGAACACATGGACTATCTTTTATTTTAGGAGACAAGGTCTCACTATGTAGTCCTGGTTAGTCTCAAAGTGCAGAGTAGACTCTAAAAGTGGGAGGGGGAGAGAGGATCATACAATAAATGAAGAGGTCTGTCCCACTAAGACAAATCATTAAACATCAGAAATCCCAAGTTGAATAAATATGATTAAAAAAAAAAAAAGTATTCCTATGGGAGGCCTTACCCTCTCTGAGGAGCAGATTGGGAGGAGGGGGGAGAGGAGGGAGGGAGAAGAAAGGAGGGAGGGGGAACTGGATTTGGAATGTAAAAAATTTAAAAAAAAAAAGTAGTAATAGTAGTTAAATAGGGCAAAGACTAGTTTAACATGCAAAAGTCTTGGCCTCAATCCCCAGTGTTCATCCCCAAAATCAGGGTGACCCAGAGTGCGGCTATATAAGCAGAACTCTGCAACAAGACTTTCTCTTAGTAACTGGCAAATCTTGTGCACTCTTTTAACCACAGCATTCTGGAGGCAGAGGCAAGTAGATATCTGTGATTTCGAGGTCAGTCTGGTCTACAAAATGAGTTCCCCAGGGCCACCAATGCTACAAAGTGCCTGTCAAAAAGAAAAGAAAAGAAAAGAAGAGAAGAGAAGAGAAGAGAAGAGAAGAGAAGAGAAGAGAAAAGAAAAAAGAAAAAGAAAAGTAGACTCTTAAAAATTAAGTTCAAACACGCTAAAGAGATGCCTCACAAGATAACTTACTGCTCTTGCAGAGGACCTCTGCTCAATTCCCAGCACCCACATGGTAATCCAAAATACTCATCCTCACACTCAAAGGCAGAGGATCTCTGAGTTCAAGGCCATCCTGATCTACAGAGCAAGATCTAGTACAGTCAGAACTAAAAACCAAAAAACTCAAACCATTATAACTTTGAGAAAGTAGATGAGTCTATTTTAGATATAAAAAAGCAATAGTGAGATCATTTCTCCAGTGTCACTTCTAGAATCCAAATTGCTACAAAAATCTACTGCTTACTCATTTCCTCAAATATGAGCAGACTTGAACGCCATCTTAGAAAACAGTATTCATAAAGATTATACACACAGTTCTTTCTAACTCTTAGAAGAAAGATGGGAAAATCATCCTTAAAAAGTAGATGCACTCATCTATCGAGACCTTTAGTGATTCTGAATGAGCTGAGCAGTCTGTTAAGGAAATGAATTAAACACAATAACCCTATCCCTTGGAACCAAATAAAAGTACAAAATCCAAGCAATCAGCTTTTTAGAAACCTGCCTTCTGTCTCAAAAAACCAAACAAAAACAACAACAACAACAAAATAAACATTGCTAGGGCTGGAGAAATAGCTCCATGATTCAGAGCTGCTTTTCCAGAGGTCCTGAGTTCAATTCCCAGCAACCACATGGTGGCTCACAACCAATCTATATTAGGATCAGATGCTCTCTTCTGGCCTGCAGGTATCCATACAGAGTACTATACATAAAATATAAATACATTTTAAAAAGAAAGAAACCCACCCTACCTAAAGGAGTGCTTTTATTCAAACTCTTAGCTGGAGAGATTTGTGCTTAAGAGAATGGCGAAGAGTGAATTAAATTCAGTAACAAAACACTGTTTTGATGAACACATCTGCACTTGTGAGCTTCAGATCTCTGGCTCAAAAAACCAAGGCACAGAAACTGTTGTATAGTCTTATGTCCAAAACTATTTTACCAAAATCAAAGCCATCGTTGGGTAAGATCTATATAACCTCAAGGAAAGGTGAAGCCTCAGAGTATCAAACTGCCAACCTACCCTTTAACCACAAGACACACCCTTATTTACAAGAGTCATGGTGACCAGTCCATGTTTATTTGAAAAATGTTTTTTCAAAAATAGATTATAAAAACTGGTTTTCCCAGAACAGCAGTGGCATGCACTAGAAATATTCTGGGCAGTACCTTCTTACATAATTCACAGAGTCAAAATTCATCAGGTTTTTTTTTTGTTTTTGGTGCTAGAGTTCAACCCCTGCACATACCATATTCATATTCTGCCACTGAATACATCATCTGTCCTTTAATGTTTTTTAATACAAAACTTTGCGTCAGTATAGTGGGTATCCCAACTGAGGAAATGGAACTTGAAGGGTCTTATCCAAAGCTAGGTTAAGAGGCAGAGTTCCAGGCAGGTGGTGGTAGTACATGCCTTTAATTCCAACACTTGTGAGGCAGAGGCAGGTGGATCTCTGAGTTCAAGGCCAGCCTGGTCTACAGAGTGTGTTCCGGGACAGGCTCCAAGCTACAGAGAAACCCTGTTTGGGGAAAACACCAAAGAGACACAGTTCTACCACCAAAAAACCCACTTCTTCAATTAAAGGGGGGGGGGAATCAGTCTTCTTTACAAGCCTAAAACACAATACTAAATCAAAGTAACATTTCTAAAGAAAGTAACAACCACAAAATACTGGAATTTAAAGTTAAATTTACACTAACCATCTACAATCTAATCAACAAGGAAAAACAGGTATTTGGGTTATGCTTTTTAGGCAGGGTCTCAATAGCCAATGGCCTTGAACTTCTGATCTCTTTGCCTCCACCTCCTAGAGCTGAGTTTACTGGCATATGCCACCATGCCTAGTTTATGGGGTGCTGTATTTGATCCAGGACCATTGAGCATGCCAGACAAGCACTCAACAACTGAGCTACATTACCAGCTCCAAAGCAATGTTTTTATTAAGAGCATAAGGATCGGAGTTAAAGTAAAAATGAAACTTTTTTCCAATTATTTTAGGAACACAACTCTCCTGTAGTCTCTAGGAAATTAGTAACTAAGAACTTCTTTCTCACTTCCGATGTGTTTTCTATTCTTCACTCAGAACAAAAGATGGAAACCAAGAGAGAATCACAGCAGCTACTTACTGACTATAAGCATCCCTAGCCTCTAATCCTTGGCCTCTCCTTCTTCCTTGGCCTCTCCTTCTTAAAGTCACTCCAAGTTGTTGTTCGGATAACTAACCATGTGTTGAGCAAAGTTCTCTCCACATCTGATGTAGGAACAGAACATGTAACTTAGAAACTAACTTACATAATCCCACACCTAGCTATGGTACTAATTCTCAGTAACTAAGCCATTCAATTCTGGACAAGAATCATGTAGCAAGTTAGTATGGGCTCTTCTAAGTTTCAGAGTAGAACTAACATTAATACCAAACTCAACACAAACAGATATGGACATAAGCCACACACACAAGCAACAAGGAGAGAAATGCAAAGCAGGTCACCAAATCAAGTTACTCCTACATACAGCCTGCAAAATAGAAGGAGACCAATGGGTCCACATCAATAAGCCAACTTAATATATTTATTGATTTTGCTCAGATGTATATGGACACATGCTCAGAGGTCAGGCCAACTGTAGGAGCTAATATTTCCACTTTGTGGATCCCAGAGATCAAACTGAGGTCCTCAGACTTGGGAATAAGCACCTTTACCAACTGAATCATCTGACTGGCCTGAAAATGCTTGTAATATATAATGTTTATTATAGACAGAATGAACTAGGCATGGTGGCAAGCGCCTGCAATCCTAGAACTTGGGAAGTTGAGGCAGGAAATTCAAGGCCAGCCTGAGCTGCATGATTAGTTACAAGAAACAGCAAGACCTTGTCTCAAAAAGAAAAGTACACACACACACACACACACACACACACACACACACACAAGCTTCAAAGCTTGGTACTATTATTTACAATAAAGAGTCCCAAACCTTTACCATCTACCCCTAGGCAGAACACACTTTCTACAAATATTGTTTTGGCATTCTCAACTTGTACCAGATTTTCATTATGTTCCATTCACCTTTGGAGTACAAGTAACAGGTTAAGACCAAACCAGCCACACTGAACTGAAATTATTGTTAGAAACAGGAACATGAACTGAACAACTGTGGAACACACCTTTAACACCAGCACTTGGGAGGCAGAGAAAGGTGTATCTCTGTGATGTGGGGCCAGACTGGTCTACAAATCAAGTGCCAGGACAGCCAGGGCTACACACAAGAGAAACCATGTCTTAAAAAAAATACTAGAATTACTTCCTTTCATATTAAGCACTTCCCACTGTTCAAAACAATTAAACAGTTAAAACCTATCAACATTTGAATATTCCCTAACTGCCAGACATAAATCTAAAAGCTTGTATGTTATCTGTAGTCTTCAGTACTACTAAAGCAGATACACAAGAACTCAAAATATGCAGTATCAAGAGAAAGCTCTCAACATATGACAGACTTGTAACCAACCCATGCTTCAAAGACACTTACAAAAAGTAGAGGTAAGGGGCCTAAAGTGGTGGCTAGGTGTTTAAAGCACTTGTTGCTCTCACAAAGGACCCAGATTTTGTTTCCAGAATCCACATGCTAACTCAAAATCATTCATACCTCCAGTTCCAGAAGTTATGATGCTGGTGGTGAGCACATTTAATCCCAGCACTGGGAAGGCAAGGCAGGTGGATCTGAGTTCAAGGCCAGCCTGTTCTACAAGAGTTCCAGGACAGCCACAGAGAAACACTCTCTCAAAAAAAAAAAAAAAAAAAAGGGAAGGCCAAGACAGGTTTGATATAATTTTGAAGACAGCCCAGCGTGACATACCACATAGACAGTGTAACAAAAACGGAAAGCAGAATTCCAAGGGAAAGAGGGGGAAAAGCCAGATAAAGTGGCCTACACCTTTAATCTCAGCACTCTGGTGATGGAGGCAGAAGGATCTTAGTTTAAGGCTACATACATAGTGAGCTCCATTACAGGCAAAATTACATGCTGAGACATGTCTCAAAAAATAAACTAATAAATAACAGGGGCTGGAAAATGTAGCTCAGCTGGTAGACTAGGTAGAAACTTGGTTTGATCCCCAGCATGGAATAAACTGGCTTTGATAACACAAGTCTGTTGTCCCAGGTGAAGTAACTCTGTGGATCCAAAAGGCTACTTACTAAACAGCTAAGAGCTCCCACCTTAGTCAACGTGTCCTATAAGGCTATCCAGGCTAACCTTGTCCTAAATGACAGCCACCAGTCCAAGCTTAAGGAGTTAGGCATCTCCAAGAAGACGGGATTCAGAGAAACATGGTAGCATGTCTATGGCCATAGTAGCAGGGAAGCTGAGGCAGACTCACTGCATACTGGAGACCAGCCTAAGCTACATAGCAAGAACATTGTCTCAAAACAAAATTTTTTTCCAGAATTGTATAATTTTAGTAGCATCAGTACTCCCAAAAAGTAAACTGCAGGTTTAGCAGTGTTATTTCCCAGGTACCCACCAAACCTACCTAGAATTCTTCCCTCCCTTTTGCTGAAGATACAAAATTCATACTATGCCAAGGAACCAACAACATTTAAGGGATGCTGTTCTCTTTGGAATAATCACATACATCAAGAACCAGCCACCAGAATCCATCCAAACACACACAAAAGCAGCTCTGACATAAAAGGTCCAGGGTCTCTCATCAACAAGTCATATATTCCCAGACCTCTTTGAGACAGAGTCTCACTGTGTAGCCCAGGCTGACATGAAAACTTGCCACCTTCCTTCCTCAAAATCCCAAGGAACTAGGATTCACAAACAGGTATCCCCTGGGCCTGCCCAAATGAAATATATCCTCAACAAGGAGACAAAACCAATTTGTTTTCTCTTCCAAATTCTTCTGGCCATATCCCAGCCAAACCACAAGTGCATGATCAATTTTCAAAAGCTTCCTGGCAATTAAAAGATCTGAGAGTCAACGAATGGGCTCAGCAGATAAATGCTCTTGCCACCAAGCCTGATAACCTGAGTTGATGCATGTTTGAGAGAATCAACTCCCAAAAATTGTGTCCTTTGATTTCTGCACACACATGCAAGACATACTAAATAAATAAATGTAACTTGAAAATTTTTTTGCTTCTCTTTTCCTCTGCCATGATGCACCATACCCAACTCTGCTTCTGGCCCTGTCTTCTCACAAGACTTTGAGAATCAAGCAATTCCTGGCCAAACATAATGGTCCTTTTCCTCAATGGACTCAGATGAAAACTGCTAATAAAATCAGGTACAACTTCAAGAGAAAACACTGGAGGAGAATGAAGCTGGGTCTGTAAGGATTCTCACAATGGCAAGACTAAGGGTTTAGTCTGAATCATGGTCATCCATCACCTCTACCAGATGCAGTTCAACATTTTTAACCTGGAGACTTGGTTATGTTTAAATCGGGGTGTGGTTTGTCCAGTAAGAAGACAGAGTCTTTCAGAAAGATGACCTCTTTTTTAAAAGAGGACACAGGCCAGGCATGGTAGTAGATCTCTAATTCCAACACTCAAGTTCAAGGCCATCTTGGGCTACTTAAGAAGACACTCACAAATAAATAAGCAAGCAAGCAAATAAGCATTTCCCCCAAAGACACCTTTGTTAAAAGAGTTCTACCTCAACTCTAACCTTCCTGTGTGCTTACTTCAAAGAATTACAAAGGAGCACCATTCTTTCCTGGCTGCAAAATGAGCTACTTTTAGTTTATCATGTGCTTGATTACATTAAATACATGAGAGCATTGCCCACTTACATGGATGCCACCAAAGTCTTTCTTCCTGTCAGCTAACAGTTAAGTAGTTCATCATAACTGTAAATAATCTGACTTTGAATTCACTTGTGACATTACTAATTTTTACCAGTTCTATTTAGGATAGCAAAATATTCTTAGAACTGCATGCCTGTTCTATAATGGCCACACTCTAAAAGGTGGGAGTGTGTGAAAGTACAGTATTATTCACCCTACTTACAACAAAAATAAGAAGTTGAAACTACCTAATCCCATATAAAATTTGCCCATTCCTGTAAGGTAAAAAGTATGTTTTAGTTAACAGGACACTTAATAGAATCAATTCACACTGGTAATCCAGGAACTACATTTCCTATTCAAACAAAAGCAATGTTCCTCATGAAGTTTTCTAAGCAAAGAAAATTTGTCAGTTTGGAAACAGGGTCTCATTACATAGCCAAGGCTGGCCTTGAACTCAATGATCCTCCTACCTCAACCTCCCCAGTACTGGGATTATAGGCATTTGCCACTATATCCAACAATAAGCATTTCAAATGAAGTAATCAAACCAATTAATTATTTTAGCCTGGTGGTGCTGGCAAAAGCCTTTAATCCCAGCACTGGGGAGGCAGAGGAAGGCGGATCTCTGTGAGTTAAGGCCAGTCTGTACAAAGGAAGTTCCAGGACTGCTGGGACTGACACAGAGAAACCCGTCTCAAAAAAAACAACAAAAAAAAAATTACTTCAGAATTCAAGCTGGTTTTGCTTTTGTTTCATTGGGGTGGGGGGGTGGTTTGTTTTGTTTTTCAAGACACAGACTCACTCTGTAGACCAGCCTGGCCTCACTGAAGAGATCCACCTGCCTCTGCCTCCCCAGGGGCTGGGGTTAAAAGTGTACACCACCACTCCCTCCCTGCTTAACCCATCTTTTAAGGAAAAGTTCTAGCATTAATCCTGGAGGGACTCATTCTTTTAGTATGCACCAGTACCAAACCATGGGCCATTCACATCAATAAGTAATATGGCTTAGGCTAGGGACCCAGCAAGCAGAAAAATGTTCAACATTTGCCATCTTCCCTTTGAAACAAAAACTGCAAAAGCAAAAAAGGGTAAGCCTCAGTTATCAAGACAACAAAATTATTACTCTACAACATAAAGTACTGAGTTTTGGCAGAATGTAGTGGCAGGTGCCTGCCTTTAATCCCAACACTCAGGAGGCAGAGAGGCAGATCTCTGAGTTCCAGACCAGCTTAGTCTAAACAGAGAGACTGTCTCAATAAATAAAGCATCGAGCTATTAATACCTATAATGTGAACTCGATGAAGCCATTTCGTAAGTATGTAGCAATCAGGTTGCTAGGAACTAGAGTAGAATGAATGAATGAATGAATGAATATGTATGTATGTATGTATGTATGTATGTATGTTTTTCGTAACAGGGTTTCTCTGTGGCTTTGGGGGTTGTCCTGGAACTAGCTCTTGTAGACCAGGCTGGTCTTGAACTCACAGATATCCCCCTATCTCTGACTCCCAAGTGATGGGATTAAAGGCATGTGCCACCAACTCCTGGCAAGGTGATTTTACTGTATGCAAATTATATACTAAGGAATTTAAAATTGTTAAAATTTTAATTTAAGTATATTTCTAAATTCTCTTTCTACATAAAACTAAGAACTATCCAAAGAGATTGCTCAAGACCCCCAAGCACCAACAGATACTAAAAAATCTATTTATTCAGTAGTCAAAACTTATCAAACTTGGGCTAGGGTTGTGACTCAGCAGCTATCTAACTGCCCAGGCATTTTTGAGGCCCCTGGATTCCATCCCCAACACCCTCCCCTAAAACTTAAAAACCCAGCTGTATAAAATCAAAGCTGGGGCTGGAGGGATAGCTCAGCCGTTAAAGGCTAGGCTCACAACCAAAAAATAAAATCAAAGCTGATTGGTAATCATGTAAACTATGTTTCTAGCAGGGCATGATGGTATACACCTATAATCTGAGCACTGGAGAGACAGGCTGGAGAATCACAAGTTTTATACCAGCCTAGGCTACAAAGAGAGACCCCTGTCTTACAAAAGAAAAGAAAAAAAAAGTCAATAAATAAGCTGTTTGTTTCTTCGGTAAGATTGGACTATGAGTTTCTCATTCTCTAAATTAACATTTCAGTTAACAGTTCTCAAAAATTATTGTCACTTCAAAATGCCAAGTGTACTCTAAACCTCTTACAAAATGCTGACATCAAGAATCTGACACTCAAAATGATGCACCATAATCTTTCAACCTAAACTGTTATTTCCTGAACTACACAAATTTCTATTATTACTGGATTAACTTTGAAAGTCAATTAATTAATCCAAATTAATTTTATCACAAGAAAACTGCCAAAGCTCTAACAATGCAAAGTTAAACCTATTGTTACCAAGAGTACAATGACCAAGACCTTAAGTATACCTGTACGTCTTCAGTCATCAGATCTGAAAATAAACTCCAAAACAGCACCACACAAAGCCATCCATTCAAAACTCTTATTACAGACACCAACAATTTAGTCAATTACAAAGTAGTTTCTTTAAAAAGATCTGATGAATTTGCTATATACAGGACAGCATGCACAATTCCAATCCAATCAGCAAGAGTTCTAAGCACTTCAATGCTATCAAACTACCATGCTCCAAGAGCCCAGATTCAAGAATCTTCCAAGGGCGGGTGATCCCTTCTGTGGTACCAAAAAGAAAAAAGAAAAAAGAAAAAAAAAATCACTTTTCTTCCCTTGAAGCCTGCATTTTATGAACAGAAACACGGCTCATCGTCTTCCACTGCAGAGCTTCTCAATCAATCTCAGCACTTTGGAGACTGGGTAAGTCAAGTCCTTGATAAGGGGTAGGAGCTGGGAATGTCTCAGGCACTGCAGAATAACCAGCAGCCCCCTCTCAGGAATGACAACCAAGTGTCCCCGAGGGAGGAGGCCTCAGAGAAGTGTCAAAAATCGCCTTGAGATATGTAGCTAGAACACTAATGATATCCTCAAGTTGCAAGGCATTCAACGTTAGCAGAAGCTGGACTTGAGAGCAGAAAACACACTCAGAACATCGGCCGCCAACCCGAAGTGGCTTGCCCTTCCTCCCTTCCCCCTTAACCTGGCAATGCAGAGCAAGGTTATCTTTACCTTTGTAGAGGTTGGTGACGGCGGTGGCTGCGTTTTGGAAGGGGACCCAGAGAGAAAGTCCTGGCTGCTGACACACTCGATCTGGAATCAAAAACGGAAAAACAAAAACAATGGGGGGTGGGAATAAAAGACATACAAGAACACAGAGAAAGAAGAGAATGTTATTTGGGCGTCAGTCACTCCGGAACGGCCATATTAGGTTTCGCCATTTTGTTCAGGGTTTGGGGATCCCAAAGGGAGCGTGAGACAGGAGTTACTGGGTCGAGGAGGGGGGAACCTGACATCAGCGAAGCTGGAGCAGCAAACGCGGCCTGGCAGGAGCAGGGAGGCGCCCCTCGCAGTCTCCGCCCCGAGGCCGGCTCGGGGCACAATAGGGCCGCCCCACCGCCTCCTTCGCCATTTTGTGACAGGGACTCCTCCCCTATCCCTTCGATCCGGCCGGGGACACCCGGACCGATATGTGGGGACCTTCCAGGGTACTCCAAATCGGGGGGGTCTCCCCATCTTTCATCGTAGTTCCCCCTCCCAGGGCCGATCCTCCGTCGGAGTCGT